AGCCCCCCCCCCCCAACCTGCCTCTCCGGTCTCCCGCTCTGTTCCCGCTTGAATCTTTGGAAACGCACTACTACCAGCCCTTGCTGCAGCGGCAGTGGAGCTAGCGCATGTATTTTTCAAACGTATCCCCCTCCTCCACAGCCAGAAGGAATTATTTATGCCACCAAAGCTATTAAAGTTCTGCGCGATGACGCCGGTGGAATGGCAAACATGCGGGGAGATAGAGATAGAGTGGTAATCAATGGGATAGAGGGAGAATAACAAACTATTTCCTCTGGCTGGCGTGAGTCGGAACCTATTACTTGTCTGTTGTCAGTGAAGGTGGGTTCAATATTGCTGTTCCTCATAAATTCAGTGCCACATTATCTCATGTTGGCCCGCTATTGTGAAGTCAAAATAGCATATGCTGTCACCACTCGTCCAACAAATCAAAGGCAATGCATAAATCCTGAAAATAACAGTTGACAAGCAAAGATAAAAAATTGTTTGGTTACTATTGTTGATTTCTGTTTTGCTTTTGTTGTTTGGACATCATTTCAAGACATTCTTTTGTTACTTAATATATTGAATTTTGGCTTTGGATGAAGACTTGGCTGGAAAATGCACTATTTTGATTACGAAAAATGACAAATTCATGTTTGCGAATTGGCTATCTAGATTAGTTTTAATTGATATTGAAAATGATTTTTTTCACTCTTTTTGTGTAGATGATGCGTACCTTCTCTCGGGGCTAAACATTGAGGAGGTATATCCAGAGACGGCAAGTTTTATCACTTACGAAGGGTCTATGACAATCCCACCGTGCTACGAGACTGCAACTTGGATTCTGATGAACAAGCCAATTTACGTCACAAAGATGCAGGTAAATAAATAAATGAGGTATTTGTAAAGCTTTAAAAAAAATGGAAATAAGTTTGCAGGGAATTTTTTTTTTTATTAATTTACAAAATTATTTTATGTAAACCTCTTGACTGAACTTAAAATGCTACACTGCAGTCTAATTATCTATTTAGATTTAGTAATGTTAATAAAGTAGTTGTATTAAAATACTTTTAAGAACTTAAAGTTACATGATTATCAATCTCGAGACACAAAACTAGTGAAATAACTTAAAATCCCAAATAGACAACAAGACTGCATGAAACATGACAACTACCTGATCATTTTAAGTGAAGGAACAAACTCATCCAGACATCTTAAGACAACAACAGTGTAAATAAAACCGGAAAACAGTCACACAATGCAACCATATTAATTATTCATGCCAAGTACATGCTGGGAAGGTAGGAAATGAGACTGAACAACAAAACCATTTCTCGATGTAAAAAAAAGCATTAATCCATGTCATCAGCTCTGCTTGAAGACTTAAAAAAACACAGATTATTATAATAGAAAAGCTGCATTAGTTGAGTTACTGAAAGTTGTCAGAACTCCAGAATACCAAGTAAACAAACAAATAGAATAATGAAGTAAATCTTTCAGCGTTATTTACTTGATCCAAGAATCAATTTTTATGGATTCAGCTAACGGCAATCTTCTTAAAGGCAGAATGCCTCACTTTTGAACCTGCAGATACACTGTTTTGATGACATGTAATATAATCTCTTCTTGAATGACACTCTCACGTAGCTCCCCAGACGCTTTTTGATGCGGGTCTGTTAGGATTGGATTGACTGTGTGATAATTGCCTGACCTGCCATCAGAGAGTCCATATAAAAGGTCTGCTCCGTCTGTGTCGTCCTTACAGATGCACTCCATGCGACTGCTAAGTCAGAACCAGCCCTCGCAGATATTCCTCAGCATGAGTGACAACGTGCGCCCAGTACAGCCTCTGAACAACCGCTGTATCCGCACCAACATCAACTTCAGCATGCAGGGCAAGGACTGCCCCAACAATAGGGCACAGAAGTTACAGTACCGAGGTCAGTGTCTCTGTGCTTCCTCCTGTGATCTCTCAGCCCGCTTTGAATTAGAGACTAAACCAGCCCATGACAAACTAAAAGTGTTTCTAAAGCTTTCATCATTTACTTCTCCAAAACAATGCTGGCTCCAAGGCAGAATAACATTGTTGGTCATAATGAACAGGTTCGCTAAAGTTACTGAGTAAAAGTTACAGTTTAGTTTCTAGCTGACTATTGAAAAGGTGCGTCAATAATAAATGGCTTTTCCTCTATTCTCCTCACTTTTCACATTTTTAAGTATTTGGTGATATGTAAAGACAAGCTATGCTTGTTTATTCAAAAGAAATAATTGCAACACTTTCATAAAACATTTATGAGGATCCATGACTGTTAGTATGCTGGCATTAGGCAACCAGATTGCTAACTAGGCTTCATAATAGAGCTAATGTGATTTAAGGTGTGTTGTACTGTTATACAACACTCAAAAACATGAGCACATGCAAGTAAACAAGCATTTTGTACATATTAGATGAGTGAAATTAATTATGCAGTTTATGAGCAAATATTTACCCTCAAAACAACCGTATAATTACCCTTTTCCTTAAATGCGTCATGTATATAGAGAAGTGATTTTATATTTAAAATAAACTCGCTGGTTGTTCCGTCATCCTGTCAAAAGTGTTTAGATAATTACTGGTAATCTCCTCTTGACCATGCATCATTTATTGACTGAGCTTGTCTAAGAGGTTTAGGATTCTCAGTAACGCAGAAGTCCATGGGCATCATAAGATGTGTTTGTGCTTCTACCAGAATGCCTGAGATGTTGTTGTAAATTGTTTCAGCGCTAAAGCATCATGTACAAGGAAAAGAAGGCTCTTATATTGAGCCTGCTCTTATCACAAAATGTAATTATGGAGAATTCGCTTGTACTCTCGATACAGCAGTGAAGTGATGAATCAGAGCTGTGCGGCATTTGTTCGAGAGGTTGGATTTACCACCCCAGTGGGTAAATGAACGATACAAAAAAGGTTCCTTCCTTTTATTACATTTGAGTTGTAAAAAGATGTAAATATCTTGGAGGAGAAGGAACGGATAGAGGCATTTAATTAGTGTTGGTTAGGCATCTGAGGTCATGTATCTTAACCAGGGAGACACATCCTTTGTTGCTAGCACAGTGAGGTGTCTGCAGGCTAATTGAATGTTAAATTTTAGCTTGAGGTGGTGATATTCAGAGTGCAAGAGAAAATTGTAATTCTGGGAAACTGCACAATGAACATGAATACAATGTTACAGAGTCTTACAGGACATGAGCTAGAGCTTGAAAAAAAAAAGTCAAATATTGGTGATTTTCAAACATAGTGAGACAACACTGTGTATATTGAGAGTTTGATTTTGCATATGCATCAGACTAAACTGTTAAAGGGATAGTTCACCCAAAAATGAAAATTCTGTCATTAATTACTCATCCTCGTGCCTTAACATCTGTAAACCAGTAAGTGCATTTCCCTAAACAATTTGTACAAACAGCACCACACAATCGATTACCTGCAAAAGCCTGTAACTTGCTCATAATTCTTGGTTCATCTATTAGAAGCATTTGTCAATGGACACACCAGTGCCATCAGAATGACAAGCCCCTGTGTCATTGTTCACAAACAAGATACAAGATAGTCAAATGCTTAACCATGTTGTCAGTAACAGTGTACTCTGTATTTCCTGAACTATGGCTCAGGTTTTCATGATTGAAAATGCACAATGCTGCTCTTTTTCTGTATGGCATAGCAATTTCAACAGTACAAATTTACACATTACTGTGATATTGATTGCAAGAGACTGGACAGTTAGCCTACTCTTTAACTGGTGGTCTGAAAAACAAATTAAAGTACTATATCATACAAGACGACATATATATATATATATATATATATATATATAACCTCCCTCTGACCTAAGGTCATGATTGAGAACATGGTCCACACATCCTTGGCTTCTTCTACCTTTTTCTCTGTTTTGCCTCCCTACGCCTCTTCTTCTTAACTGTTGACCCTGTTGTTTCCTTTTTGTTCTTTGTGTCCACTGTTAGAAATTAACATTGTGTTGTGCCCGATCTATATATTCTTTATAAGTGAAGGTTTGTTAGATGTACCTCTGAGCTATTTTAGATAAATGGTTGATCACTGGTTGATCTAACAATTTACATTTCCCTTAATTAGTGAAATTCAAGATTCACCTGTGCAATTCATCAATTCAGGATACATTTACAAAAACAAGTATAATATAAATGTATAGAAAATATGGTTGACAGTTTATGACAACTAGTTCAACCATTTGATTGAACCACTGACAATGACTATTCAACACATCAAATATAATATATTTTCATTAACATGACAAACAATTAATAATGTAGGAAACGGCAGACAATTGTACATAATCAATGTACCAAAGCATTGGCAATTTGTTAAAAAGTATGAGAAATTGCTTTTATGATGTGCACGAATGACTAAATGATGTGGAGGTTGAACAAGTAGTTTTGAGAATTTCAGTTGGGATCTGAGAAATGTATACCAAAAGCGACTGAGAAAAACACTAAATGTAGACATGTTCTTAATCTTATATCCTTATCTGTAAATGCTAGAAAATTGTGTTTTGCATTAAGTCCTGTCCTGAAAAGAACAAGCGAGTCTCTGTTAAACCTCACAGACTTCAGTAAATGAGTGTGCAATCAGTCTGACTTCACATTGTGCTATTCTGGCTATACATTTTGCTAAAATGTTTCTTGTTGGACATTAGATGTAGAGTTAAAATTCATGTAGTTTTATGCTAACAGTAACAGTATAGAGACTGTGGTAATGGGATAATGTTCAGATAAGTGAATGTGTGTTCTTCATCCAGTTAACAAACTTGTAGTGATTTTAACTTCTGATTTTTGTCCTAGAACATGATGTTCATATGTTAGTCCTTTTTTGCACAAACCAATAAGGTGATGGATTGTTCAGAAAAGGTCATCTCAGTCTATGATCAGTGAAGTACAGTGAAGCGTGATAATAAACATTATATTATTATACATGATAGCATGTCTGCACTATCATGTATGTCTGCACTATGTTTGTACTTCTACACTGGAAGCTCCTGTCGTCAAGTCAAATTCCTTGTGTGTGTAAACATACTTGGTAATAAAGCTCTTCTGATTCTGATTCTGATATTTTTGTATTTTGTCCCCTTACAGTGAACGAATGGCTGCTGAAATAGAGCCAGAATGCGGACCAGCCCAAGAACACTAACAACATGAAAAAGAACAAAGAGAAATGCTCATGGATCAGTACAGAATGAAGACTGACATATGTCCTGCCAGATACAGTCATGATGTTGTAAAGAAAAACAACCAAACCCCAGCAAGAAGAGACTTTGCACCCATGGCAAAGAGATCCAATTTCATACATCCAATCAAAACTAGTGACATACAGTTATAACTACACAAATGTTTTGATACCTTTTTTGGGAAAAACACTAACATAAAATATAACATTTATTTCATAGGCTCTTCATAAATGGAACCGAGTGTTTTTAGCCTTTGTACATATGGACAACTTGCTTCCAATCTGAGCAAAAGGGACAGGACATTGAACCACCCTACCAATACAGAAACATCCTTGAAACATAACTGTATTCTCAATCTTTATTCTCGCTCACGCTGTGGAGAGGAGGGAGAGGCAGCCTTGCAGGTTTATTGTCAAGACTAAAAAAACATCATAAAGACGACTATGGAGTGATGTCTGTGGAAAAAAAAAAAGTCTTGGCCTTGTAAATAAAATTATTCATGCTGAAAATGAATATGTAAAGATACAAATAAACATAAAAAAAAAATATCAGAGGGAAAAATAAATGAAATTTTTTTTTTTAATATTTTACGCTTGGCGCACTTTCTGGAGCAGAGCTGATGCCTTTTTTCTGTTTCATTGTTTACAATGGTCATACACTGTGTTTGATTAATGTTATCGGCCCAATAAATGTGTTTGGAAAGTTAATTTTTGTAAATATTTTTCAATGTCTTTGACTGCCCATGTAAAATGAATTTGTTTTACATAAGCATTAAATATCCTCAAAAAAGAAGAAAAGCATACATTTGCTCGGAGTTTGGTGTGGATGTCTTAGGAGCTGCTTAAAGGTGATTAGTTTAATTTTTCACTTGAAATCAGCTGGTTTAAAACGCATTATTTTTGTTGGTGAGATGATTTCTAATGCGTTTAATGGGGCTGAAGCTGCTTCAAGAAACACTGCAGTGTTGATTTGCTGTGAACTTCGTTGCCATCAGTGAGTGAAAGCTGCATTGATCCCCCCCACACCACCTTTTGGTTTAATTATATCTCAATCAATGAAGCATACCTCCTGTTTTAACCCTGGTGTGAGGAAAAAACGGCCTCTGATTCTAGTATTTTATCTCAGTACCTAACAGATGGCTAATAAAAAGATAACGAGAGGCAGAAAGTTTCAACAGCAAGCACTCATGGTTATAGTGGCCATTTTTCTATCAGGCCTGCAGTGGAAGAAACAGAATTAAACCTTTTGATAGATAAATTCTCCGTGTTTTACTCCTGACAAATAATCACCCCCGGACTCAAACACCTCCCATACAGTATATCTCAGTGGAGCACACTTACTTTTCCTCTCTGTGATACCTGCTCCTGCCAAGGACGATAAATATCACAGATCTGAGGAGGCGGCATTCAGATGTTCAGAGGATATTAATGATATTACATTAATAAGGCAATGAAAAGGTCTTTGGCTCTCAGGGAATGTAAGTGCAGCATCTGCTGCATGAAATGATGTAAGACTTTTATTAAAAGTCCATGGAGACACAAATGGCCAGATGCTCAAAGGCATAAAAGACAGTGAATGTGGTCAGATGGCATTTACTGGACAAACATCTATTACAACCAATAATAACAATCATTTTGAATGTCAATAACAACTGTCATCTTAAAAGATTTCTCTTAGGTTGTAATTTGCACAAAATTTGTCAATAACATGTTCAGATCATATTTTAGAAATGAGAACTAGAAAACTGAATTGAATAAATTCTTGAAAAAATTCTTTGCATAGCGATATTTTCTGAGAAGTATATTGATTTTGCCCCCAAAATCTTATTCTATTTTATTGTAATGCAGAACACAAAATTAGATATTATATTATAAATAATATATTAGTATTTTGTACGGCCTTTATGCATATATTTATATATATATTTTTTAAATATATAGTATATAGTAATATGTGAACCTGGACCACAAAAAGTCATAAGGGTCAATTTTTTTAAATTGAGATTTATACATCATCTGAAAGCTGAATAAATAAGCTTTTCATTGATGTATGGTTTGTTAGGATAGGACAATAGTTTGGAAAATCTGGAATCTGAGGGTGCAAAAAAATCAAAATACTGAGAAAATCGCCTTTAAATTTGTCCAAATGAAGTCCTTAGCAATGCATATTACTAATCAAAAATTAAGTTTTGATATATTTATGGTAGGAAATTTATAACATATCTTCATGGAACATGATCTTTAATTAATATCCTAATGATTTTTGGCATAAAAGAAAAATCGATAATTTTGACCCATACAATGTATTTTTGGCTATTGCTAAAAATATACCCAAGCGACTTACACATATAGTAAATACAGTAGAGAATTAAATAAGAAATACAACTGAGAATAGGAATTACCTCTATATATGCGTGTGTGTGTGTGTGTACACAGTGCTGCCCACTAATATTGGCACTTGGTAAATATGAGCAAAGGCAGCTGTGAATAAATATGCATCATTTATCTTTTTGATCTCTCATCCAAAAAATTCACAAAATTCTAAACTTTCATTGAAGTAAAACAATTGAAAGTGGGGGGAAACTCACATTATGAAATAAATGTTTTTCTCTAATGCATGTTGGCTATTGGCACCCCTAGAAATTCTTATGAGTAAAAAAATATCTCTGAAGTATATTCCCATTTATATTTAAATTTTTTAGCACACCAGGGTGATTATGAACATAAAATTATCCAGCCAGGACTTCCTGTTCCACAGGATTATAAATATGAGGAACACAAAGCCAAATACCCTTAATCATCCATCACAAGGAGTAAAACCCAAGAATATAGTTCTGATGTACAGAACAAGATTGTTGAGCTTCACAAAATAGAAAGTGGCTGTAAGAAAAGAGCTAACGCATTGAAAATCCCCATTTCCACCATCAAGGCAATAATTAAGAAGTTCCAATTAACTAAAGATGTTACACTGTAAAAAAAAATCCCGTAAAAAAACAGTAAAATTCCGGCAGCTGGGGTGCCGGAAAATTACCGTTAAATAACGGGCACATTAAATAACAGTAATTTTCAGTAATTCAAAAATAGTGTTTTGCTGTCATTTTACATTCGATTTTCTGTATTTTCTTCAGCTTTTAATGTTCAATAAGGAGCTTTACTTAAATACTGTGGAAAGTTAAATAAAAACCATGGAATTATCATTAAGTCTGAACACTGCTTTAATTCAAATAATCAGCCGTAAGTGCAAAACAGCGTTTTAATCAATTATTCACCTATCTGCAAGAATATACCAATATCGTGGTCTTCTCCACTTTCGATCACTTCTCGGGGTTGATTTTAAAAAGGCATCTGTTGAATGGAAAAAAATCCTTAGTAACAAAACATGGACTGTAACACATGCTGTGAATATATTAAAAACAAAGGCAGAATAATAAGACTTTGCACAGGGCATGCTTGTGGTGGACGTTTGCTATAAAGACATGTATGTGAGAGGATGTTGTGCATGAGACAGACTGAGAAGGTTGTTTGTGACAGTGTAAGAGAGTGTGTTGTGTGAGTGAAGATACGTGTGTGAGAGTGTGTGTATGTGAGTGTGGGATGTGTGTGTGAGAGTGTGTGTGTGAGTATGAGGATGCGTGTTTGAGGATGCGTCTGTGAGTGTGTGTGTATGTGTGTGTGTATGTGAGTGTGTGAGTGAGGATGCGTGTGTGAGAGTGTGTGTGTGTGAGTGTGAGGATGCGTGTGTGACAGTGTGTGTATGTGAGAGAGTGTGTGTGTGAGGATGCGTGTGATTTGGGGTGTTATGTACATTGACATTTTTTTAATGTGATTTTACACTGGATTTGTAAATTTACAGTCTATTTCTGTAATTTTACAATTTTTAACTGTATTTCAAAAATACGTGAAAAAACTGTAAAATAAAACGGTAAAATTCCGTAAAATAACAGTTTTTTTTTTACAGTGTACAAGTCTGCCTGGAAGAGGACGTGTGTCTATATCATCCTAATGCACGGTGAGGAGGAGAGTTTGAGTGGCCAAAGACTCTCCAAGGATCACAGCTGGAGAATTGCAGACAGTAGTTGAGTCTTGGGGTCAGAAAGCCTAAAAGATATATCAAACAGCCCCTACATCACCACATGTTGTTCGGGAGGGTTTCAAGAAAAAAAACTACTGGCTCATCCAAAAACAAAATCCAGCATATTCAGTTGTCAGACACGACTGGAACTTCAAATGGGACTGGCTTCTATGGTCAGATGAAACATAAAAAAAAGCTTTTTGTCAGCAAACCCACCAGATGGGTTTAGTACAAACAGGGATAAAAAGTACCCCATGCCCATGGTTAAATATACTGCTGGATCTATAATGTTGTGGGCCTGTTTTCTGCCGGAGGTCCTGGACGTCTTGTTCAGATGCATGGCATCATGGATTCAAATACCAACAGATAAAAAAAATCTAAACCTGACTGCCTCTGTAAGAAATCTTATAATGAACCATGTTTGGATCTTCCATCAGGACAATGATCCAAAACAAACATCAAAATCAACACAAAAATGTGTCACTGAGCACAAAATGAAGCTTCTGCCATGGCTGTCTCAGTTCCCTGACCTGAACCCTATAGAAAATGAGTGTGGTGAACTGAAGAGAAGCAGCACCAACATGGAGCTGGTATTCTGAAGGATCTGAAGAGATTCTGGATGAAGGAATGGTCTTTGATCTCTTATCAGGTGTTATCCAAACTCATCAGGCATTATAGGAGAAAACTCAGAACTGTTATCTTGGGAAAAGGAAGTTGCAATAATTAGGTGCCAATAACTGTGGCTAACGTGAACTAGAGAAAATCATTTATGTCATAATGTGAGTTTCCCCCCACTTCCCATTATTTTACTTCAATGAAAATTTAGAATTTTGCAAATGTTTTGAATTAGAGATCAAAAGGATAAACAATGCAGATTTATTTTCACAGCCACCTTTGCTCATATTTACCAAGGGTGCCAATATTAGTGGGTGGCACTGTATATAATGCGAGCGCTGAATGGTTTAAACACTGGCAAGAATTAAAAAGAAATGCAATTTATACACTTTAGTGACGATGCAACCCTGCCTCGATTGTGCAAGTGACAATTCCTGTGTAAACTGTGCAGCGTGCAGCTCACTTATAGTGCAGACGCGACATGATTTGAAGCCATTTGCGCATTTTGAGAAAGAGAGCGCGTGTGCGGTGATTCGCTCACGCTGTTTGTGAAATTATGTCTCACAGAAAGTTTTCAAATTACTTTATAGGTTATTTAATGAAGAATATGAATTGTACCTCACTTTCTGCATTACAATTATTTCACCCGCGCCGGACAGAGCCAGAGACGGTGCCACTGCATGTCGTGGCAAACCTCTCACGGCAGGTGCGTCATCAGCTTGAGATCAGATTTTTGAGATCGGCCTTTTTAGAGACCGCCGATCAATCATCCCAAAGCGATTATCGGC